GCCATTTGGCAATGTAGACAATATTTTTCTGACTAGCTTACCTTTTTATAAATCATCTTTGCATTAATTTCAGATAATAATAGCCCAGTTTCAGAATTTCATCAAAATTTGTTAGGTGAATGACTAAATCCATTGCCTACAATCTTTCAAATATTTTAAAAAGAAAATAAAAAATATCTTCTATTCTCTGCCTCACCTGCAAAGTATAATATTATTATTGTAGCTAATCGTTCTTGATTTGAACAGCATGACATACTTTGCAAAGCGCTTTCATATACATTGTCTTTTTTGTGATCTCATAACCATTCTGTTATGGACAGAGCCTTTCTTTTGTCCAACAAACATTTATTAAATATCTACTATGTGAAAGATACATATCCAACTCTCTACCTTCTTTTGCCATCTGAACATCTAGTAAGCATCTCAAAATTCCCGTGTCCTAAACTGAGATCCTGATCTTCCCAACAAACCTGCTCCAACCACATCTCGGATGATAGCAAGTGCAAACTTCCAGATGCTCAGGCTAAAACTTGGGACTAAACCTTGACTTCTCTCTTTCTCTCACATTCCACATCCCACCTGCCTGGAAATCAGACTGGCTGCACCTTCAAAATATGTCCAGAACCTTCAAAATATGTCCAGAATCTGACCATTTCTCACCATGCTGTCTTCTCAGATACATCGTCTCTGGTTTGATCAATGTAGTAACCTCCTAACTAGTCTCTGTTTCAGCCCTAGAGCGCCTCAGTCTATTTCCAATACAGCAGCATGAGTGTTAAAATGTAAGTCAAATCACATCACTCTTCTGCTCAAAACTACCTAAGAGCTCCCCTTCTCACTCAGAGTCAAAGTCCTCACAATGGTCCATAAGGCCCTACATAACCTGTTCCCCACTCTCCAATCTCTCTAACCTCATTTCCCGCCAATTTCCCCCTCATTCACTCTAGCTGCACTGAACTCTTTGCTGTTCCTGCAACAGTGCTGGACACTGAAGGTTCTGCTTCAGGGCCTTTGCATTGGTTCTCCCCTCTGCCTGACACTCTTCTCCCAGTCAGTCACAGGGTTTGCTTCCTGATTTCCTTCAGGTCTTTACTCAAATAGTACCTTCTCAGTAAGGCCTTCCCTGTTCACCACCCTTACAACTGCAACATCTCATCACCAACCTCCACCACTCTCTATCCCCCTTTCCTTCTTAATTTTACTCCATAGCACCTATTACCATCTTTACTAGTCTACAAAGGCTAGGTTATTCCGTCATAAACAACCCAAAAGCCCAGTGGCCTAGAGTTAAAATTAATTTCTCACTCACACAGAGCCCACTGCAGGACTAGGTACTTTCTAGGAAGCTATCTTCTAGCAGTGACCTAGGGATCCAGGATGTTTCTGTTTTGTGTCTCAACATGTGCCTTCCACTAGCTGGAGCAGGGGAAGAGAGCTGGAGGGTCATGCACCAGCTCTTAAATGTTTTGGACTGGAAGTGACACACGTCATTTCTGCTCACAGCCCACTGGCCAAAGCTTAGGCCCCACCCAACTGCAAGGGGCTAGGAAGCCTGGGGAAGCTTTGGTGCCAAACCATCTGACATTCTATATATGTTACTTACTTATTTATTTGATGTCTGTCTCTTTCCACTAAGTAGTCCCATGATGGCAGGAGTTTGTGCCAGTTTTGTTTACTGCTGTATCCCCAGTGCCTAGAACAGTGCCCAGTATATTTATTGGTCAGAACATTTGTGGAATGAATAAATGAATGACAGCCTGTGGGGATAGATAAGCCAACAGTCTGGCACGGCACTGAGCTGAGTGCTAAAATGGAGGCAGACAAGTCATGGAGAGAAGCAGTCAGCTCTGCAGAGAGATATAAGAAAGCCTTCCCAGAAAGGTGATATTTGAATAGACTCTTGAATAGAATACGTATTTACCAAGGATAGAGGAGGTGAGGGATGGAAGGGCCAGTATGTACAAGGCCCAGAGGCATGAACAGCTCTGCCCATTCAGAGGAGGGCCAGGCCCAGCTCCATAAGGATGGAGGCAAAGGGACAGAGGAGAGAAATGAGGTTCAAGAGGTTGGCAGAGGCCAGATTGTGCCCAGCGTTGTAAACTTCACCAAGGGGCCTGGACTTTATCTTGTGAGAAACAGGCAACTCATGAAGGACTTCAAGCAAGGGAATAAACATGATTACATTTGGGCAAAGAGCTTGAGAAATTTACAAAGCAATGAGGAGAACCATTCTCCTATTTAACATTCTGTTCCCACCAACCTTGGCATTGGTCCATACCCTAAAGAAAGCCTAGTCCGTCATGGTCTGGCCTACTTTTTTCTGCAGCCTCATCTCCCACCACTTGCTCACAACAGCCTCTGCTACTAGCATGTCAAATCTAGGCAAATCCTGAACACACCATGGGGTGTCAGGCCTCTGTGCCTGAAGAGACATGCTCAAAGTCAAACAGCCAGGAAAAGCCCACTGCCTCTCCTTCTGGGTCTCTTTCTGCTCTGCCACATGCCTAAAGTAGGCTCATAAAGTGGCCAAGTGGCCATGATGGGTTGTAAGAGCTTTCCTTTTCTGGTATTGTCGTTGAGTGAACATTTGTTAATACTAGCCCAAGACTTTCCTCATGGGATCAAACACGCTGGGCCCAGGGAAGGAGTCTCCATCTTAGCGGCTTCTCCAATGTCAGCTCCTTGGGCTGGTGAGCCCAAGGATCTTGCCCCCAGTACCCTCAGCCCTGGGCCTGGTGAGATCAACCCAACAAATTACATCTGTGCCTCCCACCCGCTATGTGGGAAAGAATCACATAGCTAGGTCTGGACATTCTGTTTTAAATGCTGACAAGGCCACACACATGGAGTGTTGCTAAACCACATGGTCCTATTAAAGAGCCTGAAAGAAGGCCACCTCCTTGAGTTTCTCAAGCTAAAGTAGTAGCTGTAGCTGCTGGCAGCTTCTAAGGGTGCTATTATCCCTATCGTTTACAACAGCCTAGGAAAGAAATATTGCATTCCCCTCGAGAAGCTCCTCCTACAATCAACAGAGCAGGACAGGATTTGTCTCCCCTCTCCTCCTTCATTTCTAACCCCCTACTCCCATCCCAGATCAAACAAACTGGGAGAGACCTCAGTGGTAAGAAAGATCTTTTTTTACTCTATTAGCAAATAACACACCAGAGCTGTGGTAAGAGGCAGGCTCAACATTAGCAAGAGAAAGACGTGTTTGTTTTATAGGTGTATTTGTTTCAAAAGTGCCTTAACCCTCCTCTCTAGCTCCACTGAGGGGCATACTAACCAGACTTGACTAACCAGGAGCTAGGATCAAAGGAGGAGGGCAGAGGGGTAAAAGAGGAAGTCAGTGTATGGTGAGGGAACGGGGGGGGGGGGGGGCCGCGGGGTGGTACCTGTGAGGGAAGGAGACCCAAAAGAGAAGTCTCCTGGTTACTGAGTGAAGGTTGGGCTTCAGGTGACTGGTTGGGAAAAATAAGAAAATATTTTTCAATATCTAGAGCTGAACTGTTCAATACAGTAGCCTCTAACCACACGTGGCTATTGAGCACTTGAAATATGGCTTGCCTGATTGAGACGTGCTGTATATTTAAGGTGCATGCCAAATTTTGAAGACTTAATACAAAAAATGTATAATATCTCATCAACAATTTCTTTATATTGATCACATGCCTAAATGATAATATTTGGGGTACATCGGGGTAAATAGATTATATTATTAAAATTAATTTCACATTTTTTATACTTTTTGAAATGTGGCTACTAGAAAATTTTAAATTATATATGTGGCTTGCGTTATATTTCCTTGGACAGTGCTACTCTGGACTCTGCCTACTAGTGACAGATGATAGTAAGATTTCACACACTTACAGACATGACAAGCATAAAGCAGGGGTGAGACGAGCTTAGAATATGACTTGTTTGGTAGCTAAACAGATTTTATTTTTCACATTTATAAACCTAGTATTTTTTTTTTTTTGAGGAAGACTAGCCCTGAGCTAACATCTGCTGCCAATCCTCTTGTTTTTGCTGAGAAAAATTTGTCCTGAGCTAACATTCGTGCCCATCTTCCTCTACTTTTTATATGGGATGCCTGCCACAGCATGGCTTGATAAGTGGTGCGTAGGTCCACACCTGGGATCTGACCCCCGAACCCTGGGCCACCGCTGAAGCAGAGCACGCAAACTTAGCCACTATGCCACCGGGTGGGCCCTAACCTACTATCTTTAAAGAAGATAAAATTTCTATTAAATCCTACCTTCAGGAATAAATTTTCTAGAGATTGAGATGAACATATTACAAGTGTCTACAACATTCCAAGAACATGTAGGCATTTTCAACTTTACCCCCAAACAAAAGAATTTAATATGAACTTTGTAGACTATAGAAAAATATATTTCAGATATTAAAAGCACCAAGGGGCAAACAGGTTTTTGGAGGGATAAAAGATTTTTTTATTGTTCAGCCCTTCAAATTTTTTTCTACCTTCATTTTTTAATCTGTTTTTTTCATTTGGGGCTTGGAAAACAGGAAAGAGGCAAAATGTACCTCCAGTGATGTCAAGGAGAGCTTACAAGAGCTTCTCTGTAAGGACATGCAGTTCTCAGGCTAGAATAACTGAAAGGGCCCCTCATGTCTGTTCACTACAAAGTTGACAAATAAGCAACTGAAATGCCTTCCTTCCTAGTGTGGCCTCCAGGGCTGCTTTTAGAGTGCTTTCCGCCTATGTCCTGCTTTCAAGTGGATATTGCATTTTACTGTGGTTAAAAAGCCATTTGCCTTCTCACCACATTTTTTTTTATTGATGTTTTAATAGTTTATAACATTGTGAAATTTTTGGTGTACATTTTTGTTTGTGCATCACCACATTTTTTTTTAAAAACCATTTCCCTAAGAAATCCCACCTGTTACTCCATCATGTTAACTGATTCCAGATGCTAAGAAGAAGGTGGCTTAGGAGACAGGATAATCAAGGAAGCAACAATCGTAACAGAAAACCTCACCTTGTGCTCGGCAGATGTCCCATGGACGTAGTGGTGAGCTCCGAGGCCTTGCAAGGTGCCCAAGCCTCCTTTTGCCATATTTACCCAGGAACTATCTTCTTTGGTGGGGACTAGGCTCCCTGCGACCAAGGTAAGGCCCGCAGTGTTGATAGTCAGCGTTCGCTCAACGGATCTGAAATAGTTCAGAATTCCTAAGCAGATGCGCTGAAACAAAAAAAGAACAGAGTCAGGACACTGCTCTGTGCTAGCCCCACTCTATGGAGTAAAACTTAATGGGGCCCTGGAGGTTGGCAGGTCAACCCTACTGCTGAGAAAGGAACACACCACCCACAGACAGACCTGATTTCATAAAAGAATCATAACAAAGTGGAGAAATGTGTTGCTACTGGGATAACAGGAAAGCCCCCTTTCTAGACAACCAAACATTTCAGATGCCTGAAACCAGCATGCGGGGCCATCCGCGTACCTGCAGCTCCCTGATTCGCAGGTGGCGCAGATACAGAAAGGACAAGTAGGTCCCTCTCATCAGGACAGGATCCCTATCACTGGGCCCAGTCCCGTCATCCAAGCCCAGCATTTGCAGGGCCATTGCAAAGCTGTACCTTTACCAGGCAGGAAAAATAGAGTAAATGCCTTTCAACTCAAAGTGGTTCAGAAAGTTCAAATACACCAAATTGAAATTATTTTATTTAACTTATGGGAGTTTCACAATAGCTACCCTTTAAAAATGCACTAGAGGGAAAATAACTACTCTTTATGTATAAATATAAAAAGAAATTTCTCTTAGCAGTCACTCTTGTTAAAAACCCAGTCCTAGGGTGAAACATTAATTTAGTTGTCTGACCTGCTTTAACAGTCTCGCTTTTATTTCAGCTTCAAATATTTTTGAATTAACATGTAACCTACATATTAATCAGCCACTCAATTTTCCCCATAGTGTTTAATCCATTTCCTTGAGTCACCAATAAAATGATTTAATTTTACCCTGTCTCTTTTTTCTGCTTGACAGCCTCGTCAGCAAGTTGGCTGAGAGTTATTCGAGCTAGGTCATTTTCATTTCGTTCCATTGAAAGGTCATCTTCCTTCATATTTTCATTCTATCAAAAAAGTAGCAGTAGTTGAATTACATAAACATTTGCAATATTATTAACAAAATCATGGTTGGGTCATCACAAAATTAAATCTCATGATCCAAGGCATATTTAGATAATAAGTAGAAGAGCATCTTGATCTATTTCAACTTGACATGTGAAAATCTGGATTTCTAAAATAAATTAGGGGTTACTGTTTTTACTATTATTTAGTCTTTGTTTTATAAAATTGTTCACAGCTTTTAAATACCAGCCACCACCACCCCCACCACCGCCTGTTACATGACTCACTTTATGAAAAGTTGATACCCACATTTGCAGATGTTTGGAACCTTGAACTTCTCTAATCTAGCCTTGTTCCAGGCTGAGAGAGATCAGTGGATTAAACATCTCTTTCTAATTTTTAGCTATATGATTTAATCATTTAAAGTCTTGATCCTGTTTTCACATTTGTAAAATGGCATGATATTGGAAAATAAGTTGCCCTGAGAATGAAATGATAGGATGTATATAAAGCATAATGACTGGCACCTCGTAGGTGCTCGGTACATGTCAGTTCTCTCCTGCCCATGGATTGCAGTAGTCAGTCAGCCTTGTAGGACTGATCACAGAATTTGTGGTTTACACTTATTTCCATGGTCATCTTTCCTGATGTCGGGAAAGATGCGGTTATGGACCCAGGGTCCTAGGGAAAACTGTGAAGAAAGTGATATTGCTGTATGGTCCTGCCCCTGGCCCTCTGGGCAGCTCCTTTCTCCGTTGCCCTCTCTGCCTGTCCCTGGGCATACACCCTATTCTCATAAGATATGCTCTTTCATAGTGGTGCCGATCCCCATGAAAACACTGAATGGCAAAGGCATAGGTTGAAATCCCCCTCTTTGGGTTACTCATGTTCTAATAATTGATTCTTAGAATTCCAACAAGTCCTTATGACAGAAACTGCTGGTTGTTCCCCAATATCTATTTTCCTCTTTTCCCACAGTAATTGAATATTTATTGTGGCACTTGGCCACCCAGATAAAGATGACATTTCCAAGCCTCTCTTGCAGGTAGGTGTAGCTATGTGACTAAGTTCTTGCCAATGGAATGAAAGTGAAAATGCCATGTGCCAGCTTCTGGGAATTGCCCTGAAGTGGCAGCTTTCCCACCCCCATTTTCCATCCTGCTGCTTAGAACACAAATGTGACAGCTGGAACTCCATTGTGGACAGGGTGTTGGTCTTGGGTATGGAGGCCACGTTTGTTGGAACTCCACGATAGAAGGAGCTCGGGTCCCTGAGGACTCCATGAAGCAGAGTTGTCACACCAGCTCTGTACTTCCTATCCCTGGTTATTAATATGAAGGAGAGAGAGAGAGAAATTTCCATCTCCTTTAATCCTCTACTATTTTGTGCTTAACTATGACCAGTAGCCAAACCTAATCTTAACTAATACAGTCCCCAAGACTCTAAAGAGAGACTACCAGTCTTTATGACAGGCAATGGGGAAGAAAATTTTGGACAGGGATATTAGGAAGAGTAGGTGAGAGAGAAAGCTGTCTAACTGGATATCATTAAGTGGCTTCCCATTCTGCCTGTGTGTAGAGTTAGCTCCTGTCTGTTCTGGGTAAGTGTGCACATCAGTGCATTTCTGTGTGAACATCCACAACTCTAGGACTGGAGGTGACATGGTGCACTCCCGTTCCTTAACGCAGAAACACAAGATCCCAAGGTAAAGAGAGTCTCTGTTATTTTTTTAAAAATCTGTAGGAAAGCATATGCTCCATGAGGGGAGTTGAATTTTGACAGTTTCTATTTGATCCAGAATTTTGGGTGTGAGGGGCTCTAAGGAAGCCTTCTGGCTCCCGGGCCTATGGTGCTCTTGTATGGCAGTTCAGCCTTGCCCCATGTGGCTCCAGAGGGCGGGCTCGGAGCCACAGCTTTTCTCTGATGGGATTGTGATGTTTTCAGCTGCTTCTAAAATTACCCAGAATTACATAGGAAGGAACAGAAAGTGACGTCAAATGACAGTGAAAAACACTTTGAAGGCATGACTGAACAAACCACAAAAGGACGGCTGGACCAGCAGATGGCCAGGAAGAAAGGAAGGGGCACAACAGGCTGGAGTGAGTAAAGGGAGAGAGTCAGCATCCTCCAGGAAGACAGAACCAACCACAGCCCACAGAAGGAAAATGCTTAGGAAATACTAACAGTCCGTGAGCGTATTCCCCAAGAGAACTGGACACAGGGCAGGTAAGCAGCGGGGCTGACCAGAAACCAGAAAGTCAACACAACAACCTGTGTTCATGCCTTCTTCCTGGGTAGTAAATCCTCTGACATTTACTCTACCTTGTGGCTGGGTCTTTGCCAGTATGGCTAAATTCATGTATTTTGACAGTTCTGAGATTTACCCTGATTACAAATCTCATTTTCTTCTGGGAAATTGGCAGGAGCAGTGAAGTGGGAGGAAGTGTGGGGGAATATGTATGCCCCACTCCCCAAATATCTCTACAGCTTACTTGTGTATGTCCACAGAATGTACATACCAAATGTTAGCAATACTGTGATTATATTTGGGTGGTAAAATAATGGGTGATTTTTATTTTCTTCCTTGAACTTTTCTATATTTTCCAAATTTTCCATGATAAACACGTCACTATTGTCATTAGAAAATGTTTGTTTTTTAAATGTTCTATTGAATTTGATGAGGGAAACCAGGAAAAAGGTGTTTTATGTTTCCCTGAACTTCCTGCACACTGGAGCTACTGTACACAACACCACTCTTGTGAGAGCACACCATGTACTCATTGTATCGCGTTATCTCTGGAAATGGAGGGGAGCAGTAAAACAGACAGAGGGAAGATAGAGTCTCCCTTTCTTCCCTCCTTGGTGTGGCCAGTGAGAAGAAGCAAAAGAAGAGTCAAAGGATACAGTGTTTTCTGCCACTTCACCACTCCATAACGTTCAAGAACAGCGACCAATTTAAACCATATCTTTAGAAATACGATGGTCCATAGTATTTAATGTCCGTACATAGCCATTTTAATAAACAGGTAGGGAATGGCACTGGACACAAGTAACTTGATACAACAGAATTACAGGTTCAGGAGGATCCACACAGGGCTAGCTGGTCCATTCCTTCTTCTGATCAGGACTACAGTTAAATTATTTTAAAGTCTTTTCAAAAGAATAGCCAAAAAATGCAGTCCATTTGGACCAGAACTATCTCTTTCTAGTTATACATTATCGTCAGTTAAAAATTATAAGAAAATTTGATATTTGTTTCTTTATCCCCTAAACCCAGATCTTTAAGTGAATCTGGAATTAGAATTGTGTTTAAAAACAAGCATGGCCAGCCTTCAATGCTAATGATAAGTAAAAAGCCAATTTAAACTGTGATAGAAACATTACAAGCATTATCAATGTTTAGACAAACATATTCAATGTTAAAATGGAAGTAGGAACACAGGTTATCTCATAAGTTGTTGGTTAGAGGAAAACGGTATGGCACTTTGGCAGCATCTATGAAAAATTTTGAGTGTGCATATCCTGTGACCCAGAAAATCCACTTCTAAATATCTACTCTAAAGAAACACACACGCGTACAAGGAGGCATGTACAAGAAAGTCCAGCAGGCATGGTTTCTAAGAGGGGGAAAAATGGCAACAAGTATCAGGGCAGAAGTTGCTGTGTGATGTGTAGTATACAATAAAATATAATGCAACCATTAAAAAGAGCAGCAGAGATCTCTAAGACATCCTGTTGGGTGAAAAAAGCAAGTTGCAGAAAGATATCCATAGGGATGTTTATATAGAAAACTAAAACACAAAAGTATAATATATACATTTTTATATGGGGACATATGTATGGATATAAATTCGAAAAGGCTTGAAGCAATGTGTTTACCTCTGAGGAAGTGGAATGGGGACCAGTATTAGAGTCTCCATTAGTTAAGTTAAAGCATTAACCATTCAGTGATGTTTCAGTTTTTACAAAGAGAATTTTAAATTATTTCTGTAGTTTAAAATTAACTTTTTAAAAACTCCTCAAAGAGAAAAATGGTAACTTTACAATGGAAAAATCTGTCAAATACCACTAGCTTAACCATGTGATCAAGATTAACACATCCAGTGATAAGTCATGTTGATATCTGCCCCTGATATGATGTGACGAGAAGGGCACTTCACCTCTGGGGTGTTCTTCCCCCAAACCTATAACCCCAGTGTAACCAGGAGAAAAACATCAACTCAAATTAGGGAACATTCTACAGGTCACCTGGCCAGTACTCCTAAAGACTGTCAAAGTCACGATAAACAAGGAAAGACTGAGAAACTGACACAGACCTGAGGAGACTGGGAAGACATGATGATTAAATGCAATTTAGTACCCTGGGTAGGATCCTGGAGCACAAAGAGGACGTTAATGGAAAAACTGGTGAATTCCAAATAGAGTGCAGTGTAGTTAACAGTAATGTACCAATGTTGGTTCCTTAGGCGTGACGAATGTATCACAGTAACAAATGATGTTAAATAAAAGGAGAAACTGGGTAGGAGCTACCTGGGAACTCTTCGTACTATCTTTGCAACTTTTCTGTAAATCTAAAACTATTCTAAAACAAAACATTTATTTTTTAAAAACTCCTTAAATAAAGGTTACTGGTATACAGCATTCACCAAGAATTGACCAGAAACTGTTCTGAAATTGCACTACAATTATTGCTTACATTCTCTCAGAGCTGTCAAAACAGACAGTCCTATGACGTTTGCTTTCCTTCATGCAGAAGGCCCTTAAGAAAGCTATTTTTCATGGAGTATTGGTGGTCACTTGCCAACTTCAGAATCAGGATGCTGACCAGCATACAGAGGCTAAAAGTCATACTTGACTGCTACGTGCTTGCAAAATAGTAACAGAGCTTTAAAATTCATACCCGCATTCCTCTGACTCCTCCCAGCTGCCACCTTTACTTAATCCTAACTTAATCTGATTTAGTATTCAACATTCAGAATGGCAACACGCTACCATTGGTGCCATATTGCTGGATAAAGTGACTTTTTTTTTTTGTGAGGAAGATCAGCCCTGTGCTAACATCTACCAATCCTCCTCTTTTTGCTGAGGAAGACTGGACCTGAGCTAACATCCATGCCGATCTCCCTCCACTTTATACGGGACGCCGCCACAGCAGGGCTTGATGAGCGGTGCATCTGTTCGCACCCGGGATCCGAACCGGCGAACTCCGGGCCACCGCAACAGAGTGTGTGCACTTAACCACTTGCGCCACTGGGCCGGCCCCTGGATAAAGTGACTCTTGACCAAAGCAGAAATACTTGAAGAGGTCACAAAATAATACCCACAGGAAAATGTGAAGGAAAGGGGAAAACTATTGGTCGGTGCCTCAGAATTTCCTGTCTTAAACCCTGTGTTGTCTTCTGTTCCCTACTTGGAAAGCTCTTCTCCCGCCCGTTTGCATGGCTGACTCCCTCTCATTCATCAAATTTCAGCTCAGATGCCCCCCACACTGAAAGATCTTAGTCGATCTCTCTATCAGAGGGTGCTCGTCTCTACCTCATTACCTTCTACTCCTGTGGTTTCTTCATAGCATCCACAAATCAGAGATGGAGAATTGCTTCTTTATTCACTTGTTTATTGCGCATTTCATTCCCTGAGCCCAGCACAATTCCTGGCACAAAGGCAGCATCCATGTAATAATCACCAAACGAATGAATGAATGAATGGGAAACTGGAAAACTTGCATGACCCTAATATGTAATTTGTGTTATATATCTCCCCTCATGCTCCACCTCTAGAATCTACAGGTATTGTAAGTCTCTTTAAGCTCTATTTACCGTAAATCAACTTGAAAATACAGTGCTCACATTTTTCTCCCTTTAGTCAATTCCAAGAATAACATTTACAAGTCAGGAAATAGCCAGAGGAAGTGGTTTTCTCTCTTTTTACATTTGGGCAACTGCATTCAAAACAGACTTTAGTGAAAGCACAGATTGCCTCTTATCAATACCCCGACTTTCCATCTCCTCTGCAGATGGAGGGAAGCAGTAACAGAACAGCAAGAAGTGTTAGTTCTTTCCGCTGTGAGCTGGGCTCCTCACACCATGGCTCTAACTTAGTGTTTTCTGCATCTCAACACTTACCTGAGCCATCATCTCCTGCTCTCGCTATGCACCTTCTGCTTCTCGCTGGCACAGTGGTCCCACAGAGGTAACTTCCTTTGTTCTCTAAGTACCCATGAGCACTACTCCAACTGTCACCTGCTGGCCTGGCCAAGCCCTGGACCTCATCACTTCTCCATGACTTCATACATGAAGCTCTTCATCTCTGACTCCATCCTCCTTTGCCTCCTACCCATCCATCACCCATATTCACCTCCTTTTGCCCCAATATGGCCCCCAGGGGTTCAGTTCTCCCTATTCTCTCAGCCAAGGAGGAAAACAGATTTGTGGTGATGAATCTCAAATGTTAATACCAGAACTTCCTGGGTAAAGGAGGATTACATCAGCATCAAGAGGTAGACCCTCCAGGATCCTAGGAGCAGAGGTCTTGTTCAGAGATTCCTGGCCTGACTCTGCCTTCGCCCCCCTCCCTTCTTCCCTACTCCCTAGCCCCTTCCTGCTAAGTTTGGTTCAAGAAGCAAAAGAGACAAAGCAAAAGACAAGCAAAAGAGTTTTTAAATGTCGCCTTTAAATGTCCCAAGGGAACATTTAAAATAAAGTCCTCCTGAATGGTGACATATACCTCAGTGTGAAATGGCAATGAGATAGGAAAAATGCGGCTATTTTCTCAACTCTGGCAGGATGCTAGCTGAGGAGAGAATGTCACTGGTGGTTGCACGTCCTGTCAGGCAGTTCAGGGGCAGGGAGACCTATGCCATGATATGCTGCATCTGCTCCTGATCTGTGTGGCCAATTCATTTTTCTTTAGATTCTCTAGATCCTTGTTTAAACAAATTGAAAAGTTATAGAAGTTGTGGGGGTGTGTGTGTGTGTGTGTGTACACCTGTGTGCACATGTGTGTTTGCTTCCAGCCAATCTGTAACTCATTAGGCCCACTTCAGGTTTCACTTTCTCCCATACCCAGCCTGGGATGGTGGACCATGACAGTGCTTCTCTCTCTAGCATTCTACTAAACTTCTCCACACCTTCAACTTTATGTATAATTTTTAGTCACTCTACAATTATCTTTAGAAGTGAAAGTAATAGAATTATTACGCCGAATGGGCTCGCTATAAATTCATGCCCTCTTACTTCATCTGGGCCCTCTTAACAACATGGTCATCCTTATGTTCTTTGCTCACTGGCGATCCTGTGGCCTTCCCCACAGTGATACACCCCCTCACAGGCTACTTTCATCTTCTACTCACTGATGCAGACCTCTTCCTCCTCTTCCTCTCCTGAGATAGCCAGGCCATTCACAAGCCCCCACATCTTATCTTTCCGACCTGAAAATTCTATGTATCTCATTCACCTCAAGGGAAGTGATGTCATTCTCCCTTTCTCAAAATTACTCCTCCACCTGTTTTCTTCATCCCATCCTCTCTTCTTTCCCCAGAGTCATCTGTTTCTCAGATTCACCCTTTCCTATCTTCTACCTCCTCTTCTCCACTCCTCCTTTCTCTCAGACTAGAAACACATCATGTTCTTCCCATCTTAAATAAGCAAATGAAACAAAACTCTTCTCTTAGAGAACACAGAATAGCAGATTAGAGCTTCAGAAATGTTATGGTAGCGTTGTAAAGACAAATATTGACTAGCTTTGTGTAAAAACTTCCTTTCATTGCCAAACTTCATGCCTATCCTATGTAGTAATTATTAACTGGCTTCCCTGCCTTCAATTTCTCCATCTTTCAATCCAAATAACACCCTACTGCCACATTAATCTTCCTAAAAAATACAGCTTTGTATATGTCACTTTGCTTACAGGATAAAGCACAAATTCCTTAGTCTGGAATTTATGGGCATTCACAACCTGCACCCTCCTCCCCCCTAAAAAAACTTCCCTTCACGATATTTCAACATGAATCTTCCGCTCAACCAAACTGGACTTGAACACTCCACGTAAAGTATCTCCTCTGCATTGTTGTTCATTCTTCCCTCCTAGAATGTGCTCCCTACTTCCCTCTCCACCATCACTTTGCTAAGCTTTATATTTCCTTCAAGCCCAGCATAATTTCCTCCTCCTTCAAGAGGCTTTCCCCAATAGAACCAACCATGTGGGGACCACCTTCCCTCTAAACACTCACGATATTTAACAACTGTCCAACTCATTTGGTGTTGAGCACTGGAATGTGCAGCTTTGCATTGGTATTTATCGGTTGAATATATGTCCTGGTGGCAATATCTCATATTATACCTCTTTGTATCCCTCTTTTTAATTAGCGTTTAATCCTTTTTTATATTGAAAACAAATCTGGCTAGGTAATAGAGCTTTTGCAGGTAGGGTCTCTGAAAAACTACCAAAGTAAATTTCTCAGGTCTATACACAGATGGTGAGTTGAACAGAAAGGCATACTGGTTATTTCTTTCTGTTGTACCTGGTAGAGGTTGATGTTGCTATAAATGTTCTCCCAGATTTGGTCATAGTTGCACTGATGCAAACCCTGGGAAGCTTGGAAAGTTGGATGAGATGGAGCCAGCGTGACTGTTTTTGTAGCGTGATCTTGGAGCACTTGCATTACTCGCTCAGGGTTGGAAATCTTGAGTAGAACAGAGAGGAGAAGGAATAGTTGGGAGAAGGATTATTCCCTTCTTCTCAGCAAGAATTTGGTCATGTACACATGAATAAGAAAGAAGCCCTAGGTGGGACATTATTCAATTAAAAAATAAGGTTAAATTCAAACAGCATGATTCCCTTATGTATGTTCATCCATTCAACACTAAAAGTATTCAAATATATGTAGCAGCTCATTTAAAATTCTGTGACAACCCCCTAAACACAATAGCAGGTGGCACCCCCATAAGCATTGTGGCACCAATGAAAAGATAAACACCCATCAGTTTTGGTACAAACTCTGCTGTTAGGAAGCTGCCAAGAGATGGAGAAGGAGGCAGCTCAGTTGTGTGGGAAAGGCACAGGCTTTGTCAGGGTACAGACCTGAGCTTGCATCCCTGCTGGAATCCTGGCTTTTCCGTGCAGAATAGGACAAGTCAACCTAATAAAAACACTAATGATGTCTCTCCCAGGATTGCTGCAAGAATGCCTGGCATGCAGTAGGTGCTGAATAAATGTTCCTTCTCCTCTTCTGGAGGTAAAGAATCGAATAATAGTCCCAGAGCTGAACTTCTACTTCAGTGATACACATATTACTATATTTCAATCATTTTACTATCACAAGGAACCTCAAAGATCATTTAGTCCAGTCTCTACCAAAATCCCAACAGCATTTTTTGCACAAGTACAAAAATTGATTCTAAAATTCATATGGAATCTCAAGGGACCTGAAACGGCCAAAATAATTTTGAAAAAAAAGAACAAAGTTGGAGGACCCATACTTCCTGATCTCAAAACATATCACAAAGCTACAGTAATCAAAATGGTGTGGTACTGGCAAAAATTAGACATATAAACCAATGGAATACAATAGAGAGCCTAGAAATAAACCCTCAAGTATATGGTCAAATGATCTTAGACAAGGGTACCACGACCACTCAATGGAGAAAAGACAGTGTCTTCAATAAATGGTGTTGGGAAAACTGGATATCCACATGCAAAATAATGAAGTTGGACCCTTATCTTACACTACATACAAAAATTAACTCAAAATGGATTAAAGATCTAAACATAAGACCTAAAACAGGAAAATCTTCATGACATTGAACTTTGCAATGGGTTTTTGGATATGACACCAAAAGCACAGGCAAAAAAACCAATAATAGACAAATGTGACTACATCAAACTTAAAAATTTCTGTGCATCAAAGGACATAATTAGAGTGAAAAGGCAACCTATGGAATGGAAGGATATATTTGCAAATTATATATCTGATAAGGGGTTAAAATTCAGAATATATGAAGAATTTCTATAACTCAACAATAAAAAATCAAATAACCTAATTTAAAAATGGGCAAAAGAATTCAATAGACATTTCTCCAAATATGATATACAAATGGCCAACAGGCATATGAAAAGGTGCTCAACATCACTAATTATTCAAGAAATGCAAAGCAAAACCACAATGAGGTATCATCTCATATCCATTAGGATAGCCAATATCAAAAAAAAAAATAGAAAGGAAGTAACAAGTGTTGGTGAGGATGTAGAGAAATTGGAACCCTTGTGCACTGTTGGCGGGATTGTAAAATGCTGCAACTGCTATGGAAAATAGTATGGAGTTTCCTCAAAAAATTAAAAACAGTATTACCTTATGATCCAGCAATTCCACTTCTGGGTATATATCCAAAAGAACTGAAAGCAGGATCTCAAAGAGATATTTACAAATCCATGTTCATAGCAGCATTATTCACAATGACCATGAGGTGAAAGCAACCCAAATGTCCATCAACAAATGAATAAACAAAACATGGTGGATACAAGCAAGAGAATATTATTCAACCTTAAAAAGGAAGGAAATTCTTACGTATCCTACAACATGGGTGAACCTTGAGGACATTATGGTGGGTAAAATAAAGCAGTCACAAAAAGATAAACACTGTGTGATTCCACTAATATCTGGTACCTAGACTAGTCAAACTTATAGAGACAGAAAGTAGAATGATGGTTGCCAGGGGCTAAGGGGAGGAAGGGAGGAATGAGGAGTTATTGTTTAATGGGTATAGAGTTTCAGTTTGCCAGATGAAAAGAGTTCTGGAGATGGATGGTGGTGATAGTTGCACACAATATGGATGTACTTAATATCACTGAACTGTACACTTAAAAATGGTTAAAATGGTCAATTTCATGTTATGTGTATTTTACCACAATTTAAGAAAAGAAGGAAAAAAAATAATATAAAGAGATACCCTGTAGCCTTCACTCCATTTCCCCCAATGTTAACAGCTTGTAAAACTATAATACAGTATTGCAACCTGGATATTGACACTGATACAGTCAAGATATAGAACAGATCTATCACCACAAGGATCCCTCATGTTGCCCTCTTATAGCTACACTCTTTTCCCTTGCCCACCAGTCTCTCCTTAACCTCTAGAATCCATGAATCTGTTCTCCATTTCTATAATTTGCCGTTTCAAGAGTGTTGTATAAATGGACTCATTTGGTCTTTTTGAGACTGACTTTTTTCACTCACGTAGTGCTCTGGAGATTCATCAGGTTCTTGAGTATATCACTAGTTTGTCGCTTTTTATAGCTGACTGCTATTCCGTGGTATGGATGTACCACAGTTAGTTTAACTGTTCACCCACCGAAGGACATCTGGGTTGTTTCCCGTTTTTGGCTATTGCTAATAGAGCTGATATAAATGTTCATGGGGAAAAAAAAGGGAAGGAAATCCGGTCACATGCTACAACGTGGATGAACCTTGAGGACATTACGCTAAGTGAAATAAGCCAGTTACAAAAAGACAAATACCGTATGATTGCACTTGTATGAGATATCTAAGAGCAGTCAAATTCGGAAATAGGAAGTAGAATTGTGGATGTTAGAGGCTGTGGGGAGGAGGAAATAGGGAATTGATTGTTGTTTAATAGGTAGACAGTTTCAGTTTTGCAAGATGAAAATGTTCTGGAGATCTGTTTCACAACAATGTGAATATACTGAACACTACTGAACTGTACACTTAACAATGGTTAAGATGATAAATTTTATGCTATGTGTTTTTTAACACAATAAAAATAGAATAATTTAGTCTAATATTTTTGTTTCACCAATGAGGAAGATAAAACTCAAGGAGGTTATGTGACTAGACCAATATCACACAAAGACTTAGTGCTAAAGCTGGACTAAAATCTAGCTCTTTTGATAATTGTTACTCTCTACCGAAAGCTAACAGGATTATACAAGTTTGGCAATTAGATTAGAAAGTTCCAAATAAAGCCTTCATAATGAATCCATGGCCAACATTTTTTAAAAGGGAAAGAAAATTCAGTTTTCTGAGAACTATTTTAGAAAGAATTTTATCTACTTGGGAACATAGTTACTTTCTTACCTTCAAAAACTTTGCTTGGAGTTGCATTAATACATCTATTCTTCTCCGTTCCTTTAGTCTGGTCAAAAGTTTCTTTTGCCAAGGATCACATTTTGGCTTAATCTAGTGGATAAACATGTTCACACAAAGTTACAATATACCAATGGTTCTCAATAAAAGTTGCAAGCAAAGAGATTCAAGGACCTTCTGAAACGGGATCTGGCCTCAGAGCTAGAAAGTTTGCTAGAGCATGTGAAGTCTTGGAAAGGGTCCACATGCGATCACAGATCCGTGGAGGGAGATGGCAGCAGCAGGTTCTGTTGGTGCCTGGCCTATGAGATGCAGTGGCTCTGTCTGGGATGACACAGCACCATCCATGAGCAGGAGGGACCCTAAATCCATCAGTGCTGGGCACTGCACTTGATTTATGGGGCAAAGAGAAGTTTGCCCACAAAGACTTCTGGTGACTCCATATGTAAAACTTCACTTTTCACACTGACAAGCTCTATTTCAAAAATTAGTTCTATGGCTGTAAATACATCAATACACTGATAACTCTCAAATTTATATCTGGCTCTAAGCCCCAGCCTGTTATACCTGGCTGTCTCCTTGACATCCATACTTGGATGGCAGTGTAACAATCTAAATGGGAAGCCTGGCTTCCCCTACACTGACTACCTATTTTCTGGAGTCCCAGACTTAGGAGTAATCTTTGATTTCTCTGCTTTCCTTCCATCTGTCTGTATTTCATAAGACTTTTCTTTCCTTCATAATGCAGTTGATCCACATTATTCACGGATTTTGTATTTGCAAATTTGCCTACTCACTAAAATTTATTTTTAACCCTAAAATCAATTCTGGCTGAGCTTTCCTGGTCATTCATAAAAATGCACAGAATGGTAAAAACTTTGAGTCGCCCAACTCCACATTTCCAGCTGAGGTCAAACAAGGTGAGATTCTGCCTTCTTGTTTCAGCTCTCGTATGTAAACAAGTGTCCTTTTTGTGGTCTATTTAGTGCCAGTTTCTGTACTTTTGTGGTTTTTGGGGGTGATTTCACTGTTTATAATGGCCCAAGCGTCATGCTGAAGTGCTGCCTAGTGTTCCTAAGTGCAGGAAGGCTGCGATGTGTCTTATGGAAGAAATACACATGTTCCATACACTTCTTTCAGGCATGAGTTCTAGTGCTGTTGGCCACAAGTTTGATGCTAATGACCCAACAACATATATTAAATAAAATGTCTTTAAACAGAAACACTCGTAAAACAAGGTTATGTATTGACTGGTTGATGAACCTAACCCTGCGTTTCCCCTATGAGCAATGGTTCCGTTTTTGTTAATTCAGTGTTCGTGGCAATTTTATAGCACATACCTACCCTAGATAATGAGAATTGACTGTACTTAACTACCACTAAAATCATCTCATTTAATCTGCTTACTTGTGTGTTGTTTGTGAATTGTATATCTCCAGCACCAAGGGCCATGCCTGACACACAGTGTGTACTCAATAAATAATTTTTGACTAAAAAGCTGGATTTATACAAATTTTGTTATTCTTTGTTCTTGCCAAATAGCCAAGACCATTAACAACAAGAAGGGAGTTCTGACCCAACATAGGGGTACGGGAGTATGGAGAACTTCCAGAGAAGGTGGATCAGCATGGCTAACTTCAACAGAGACCCAAGGCAGGAAGGAGCTGGGAGATCCTGGCACACAAGGCCAGGTTCTCTGAGCTGCCTCTGCTGAGGACAGGCAGGCACCTACTTTTGGTCATAAGAGGCAGTTTGCTGAGGGCATTGAGGAGAGGGGACAGCAGGGACCTGATAGACCTGGTGCTGCCAGGTTGCCTGGCCTGCTTGGAGGATACTTTGTGACACTGCTGACATCAATGATAGGTGACTGTCACCATAGGTCCCCTTACCTTTATAAAGGATATCCAGTTGGCTCTCTTTTTCAAGGCCATACCAGGTCCTGCCAAACCGAAATCCTCCACTTTAGCTATCCTAGCATCGTAGTCCGGAAACGTTTGCATTCCCTGTTGCTCCATGAAGATGCTTTGAAATTTTTGGGAAACCTAAACAGGATTAAGAAGAGAGAATTAGAACCCAGAAAAAAGTCTCAGATTACAGGTAATTTTAGAAACAGCTGCTGATTGCCTTTGAAACAGTCTTGGAGTCAAAGTGATTCATAAAACACGACTCTGTGACAGTCACAGGACCTTAGAGGTATATACCTGAGAGGTACATGTATTCAGTCAGCTCATTACCATAATTGTGTATGTGACTTGTTCTGAATATCTGCTCCAAAGATTGGAAATTATGTAACATTTATTTACATGTATTTTGAGCCAGGCCCTATCTGGGAAGTAAATTGTCCACCTTTGGAAATACATTCATTTTTTCTGGCCACCTAGTAAACTAGAAAAGCTAAGGATTAGATAAATCCTGCTCCCAGAAGCCTACTGGATGTTGCAGAGAGAAGGGTCCAGATGCTAGGACCTGTGAATACTCTTTAAAGTACCTCAGCCAATCCCTTGATATCTCCCTTTCAGACTGAGGCTACCAGTGCTTTCTGTGACAGAACTTCCTGCTGCCAAAATGCAGAACACTCCTTCCTCCCTTCTCCAGGCCTAGTGAGCCTGTGGCGTGCCTTCATCACTGCACTGGCCGCATTGCGTCATGATTTCCTCACACATGGTGAGCCTCTTGAGGGCACAGCCTATGAATCTCAAGAACCTGACACATGGTGATGGTTGCATAACAATGTGAATGTACTTAATGCCACTGAACTATCCACTTAGAAATGGTTAAAATAGTAACTCTTATGTTATCTATATTTTATTACGCATACACACAGAACTTATCACAGTGCTGGCACATATGAGGGCCTCAATGGAGGTTTCTGGAATGAGTGAGTGAGTTCAATGAGTCACAGAGCTAAAGATTCTTCCAGTTAATGTTGGTCCCTCCCAGGCTGTGCTGTCCAGTACTGTTGCCCCTAGGCACATGTGGCTGTTTAACATTTAGATGTAAATTCCCTAAAATTAAATAAAATTTAGAATTTAGTTCCTCAGTTGCACTACCAACATTTCAAGTGCTCAACAGCCGCATGGGACTAGTTAACATATCAGACAGCACAGATACAGACGGTATCTGCCGACAGATACGTATCAGACAGACAGATCCATCGGTGCAGGCAGTTCAATGAGACAGTGCTAGTCTAGGGCTGAGTGGCAAACTTTTTCAAATATTTCAGCCTTTGCAGACCATACGGTCTCTGTTGCAACTACTCGGCCCTGCGGTTGTAGTCTAAAAGCAGCCGTAGATAAACATTAATGAATAGGCACGGCTGTGTTCCAATAAAACTGTATTTTAAAAAAAACAGGTGATAGGTTGTAGGCTGTAGTTTGCGGACCCTGCTCTAGGGCATTAGAGAACCAGAATAAACAGTACCCAAAGACAGGAACTCTTCCTACACAGAAAATTGTTGTAATGTGATTGATTATCTTGGGAGCACAATTAGCATTGCACGTAATACTGCGATAGGAAAATCAGCAGTGGAAATTATCCTTATATAAAGGAGACAAGCTGTTCTTTGGGAACAAGGCTGCCTCGTGAGAGTGCCCAATAGCCTCCTGTTCTCTTGCTGTCACTGATGATAGTCTACTGTGCTATTATTTTTTTAAATTTATTTTGGCTCTTTTTAAACACTATCTTATTCTGATTCTGTTTTTTGTCTATCATAATATTTGGTGATAATGAAGGTAAAGATACTCCCGTAGAAGCGCTCTGCTGAAGATACAGCTGCTGGTGAAATGAAAAGAAAGGCAAAAACCTAAACACCTTCACCTTCAAAGAAACCAGAGGACATGTGATTCCACTGGTTCCGTGAGCTTAAAGAGTCTGTGTGACATACCACTAGAAAAAGTCCTAGAGAAATAAAGCTGGAATAAAACACATGGAAGTGAAAATTCAAGGTCAGGCAAATGGTGATAGAGGAAACAGTGGCTTCTTCTCACACAAAGAGCATTCAAAGACATTCAGATTTGATTTTGCCCTGTTCGGATCAATCAATTTATTATTTTTACCTAGCAAATATATACACTTGCAAACATTATACACCCAGAGCTAGAAAAATCTTTATTGTTAAAACTAAAAAATAATCCTATTTTTCCCTTTGAAACAAGTTTTAACATTGCTTCTGATAATACGGGTTTTTTTTAAGGAAGTGCAACACTGTGTTATAGCAGAGCAGACTGCATGACTTTAAACATTAGGAGACAATATACACTTTACTGAATACAAAGCATTTGCCAATAGGAGAACTATTGCAACACATTCTGAGAATTGAAGGGGTTTAGACATAGACAACTCCACCATGCAAATTTGCTAAATCTTGGCTACGTTTACATCATCTACTACAGACTATAACCTACCTTTTTCTTTAAATTCCGCAGAGAAACAAATCTTACAATCCCTCTGGGTTGGATAGTCAAGGGTCCCATTACTCTTACAGAGAGGAAGTTCAACTGCTAATCTGAATCTCACCTCTTACTATCATAGTTTATCACTCTAGAAACAATCGTGGCAGTATAAATATCCAACTTTGTGGAATACTAGTGTTTTCTTTCATGAACATCTATATTTGTATTAAGAAAGAGTCCATCAAGTACCAAGGAGAAAAGTTCCATTTCCTTAGCAGCATCCCTTAGTTCATCCACATCATATGGGATATTGAAATGGGAGAGCAGGAGCCTCAACTGAGGTTTCAGTTCTTCTGTTTCTGTTGTGTGTTGGGGCAGGATGAAGGCAGCTTTTGCTCTCATCGGCCCTGGAAAACATCCAAAATCAAGAGCATTAAGACCAATAAACACCAGAAGAGAAAAGGGAGAATCTTTTGAGATATTTGGAGGCAGAGCCTCCTCTGCTGATGGGGAAGGCCATTCTGCTTCTTGCCCAATGTTCTCTGCCACAATTTACAGACTGCACCATGCTTGGCCAGGCCTATCTGACAAACTCTTGGTGCTGGATTTCTGGGGGAGGTAGCCTGGACCCCCCTTTCTCACAGCCTGCAGGATAAACCCAACAGACCCTTTGGGGAATGACTTAGTGGGAGCAGAACTACCTATAGTCCTTCATGGTAAACAGAGAGTACGATTTATAAGTTAACCAACAAATTAGAAGTAGGTGAGAGTCTTCACCTCCTTTCACCTGGCTCACTCCCACTCATCTCTAAACACCCAGTTTGGACTCCTCTCCTTTGAGATGCCTTCTCTGATTCCCCACCACTGGGTTGGCTGCCTCTCCAGGTGCGCCCAGTATATACCCCAAGCAAATATGTCACTCAGAGTAGAAACCTGATCAGGTTTTTTAGTCACCGGTCACAAAAGGTAGGGGCCGTAAAACTGTTACACTGATTCAGATAAGGAAAGTCTTCTAAATCATGCAATATTAAAGATGAAAGGGACCTTAGAACACACTTAATCTGAAAGGCTTATTTTGGAGATGAGTAAATTGAGGCCCAAGGAGATGAAATGACCTAAAGGTGGCGAGGCCACAACAGAAACAGGGCTAGAGCTCAGTGTTCCCAACTTCAAGTGCGTTGCTTTTTTCCTCTCTCTTGATTTGCTAGTTATAAAGATGGAGAGAATAACGCCTAAGAGAAGTATTTGTTATTATTTTCTATCAGAAAATATTAAATTAACAGTTTATTAAGAAAATATAACTTTTTGGTATGCAGAAAAATTTCAAGCAAGATCATGTGACAAAACAGCACTTGTGCAAAATCACAATCCTCTTTTCTCCACATAACCCTAGGGGAAGGGAGACTAATTTCTTACCTGAAACGCTGGTATCCATAGGGCCTGGACACGCAGAGCACTGGATGTCATCAACGTGGACATTTTCATTCTCCTGACCAACCTCAGGGGCTTCATCTACTACACTCAGCACTTTGGAGATGGGCAGATACTGGAGAGCCTGCAGAAGGGCACAACCAAGAGGCTGCACGTTAACTCGATTCTCACAGAAGCTTCCAGACTTTGGTTCAGGAGCAGCCCTTTGCTTTGACAGAGGAGCAGTGAGGTAGAGGTGGTCTCAGTAACCTGCCTAATCATGAGAGGCTAAATCTGGAGCTGGGAGACCTGGTGCTGTCACCAACTCTGAATGACCTTAACCCTGGGCAGGTCCACATTGATCAAGCACCCATAATGGACAAAGCACTGTGTGAAGTGCTAGGGATGCAAAGATGAATAAGACATGGACCAATCTCAAAGTGTTCACAGTTTAGTGGGTGACCCAGACTTAGGAGCAGATTGTTATTACATCATGTGAGTGGGAAGAGATCCCATATCATATGAAGTGAGAGGTAGACCCCATAGTGATTGACTGGGGAAGGGATGATGTTAGGATGTGGCCAGGTATCTTGTTTGGGTGACTCTGTGGTTGGTGGTATCACTGAGATAAGGCATAGAGAAGTAAGAAAAGACTTAGGTGGCAAAACAATAATCTTTCTAAAATGAAAATACAATCAAGTCACTCCTTTCTGATGCCTCTAGCCTGGGTTAGGGCTTCACCTCTGTGACTTTCTTTACCCAGTGCTTATACTTATTCTATTCTTTCTTATCACACTGTATTTCAGTTGACAATTTATTTGCCCATTTTCCTACCATCCTGGAACCCACTTACTTTCCAGCAAAGACTATATCTTCCCTACATGGCCCAGGACATGTACCTGGCATATATTAGACCTTAATTAGGTATTGCTGAATAAAAAAGTGGATCTACATTAGTGAGTATAAATCCTGAACAAGATGATGAAAACAAGAACTTACAGAGAGAATATGAAATAGCACAACAGAGACATCTCTGAGGAAGCTAAATTAATGGAGTGATTTCATTAGAGCAAGTTCTAAAAGAAAAAGATTTCAAAGAAAAAAGCTAGTGACCCATAACTTTCCTGTCATTTGTAGACAGGTGGAACATAGAAACCGACAATCCAAAACAAGGTGACAGATGTGAGAAAACAATGTGCTGACCAACCTGGGAGGGTACTGCGTCATCCCATAACTATGTTTTACGTACCTGCAGATAGTGGTGAATAGTCTTGAGTGAGTGTAGGTGACACACTAACCACTTTGTGTAAATAGTCAAGTCTTCCTGTGTCACTAAGTTAGGAGGATTGTTTTTTCCCAGAAGGAAGTTTTCTCGTGCAACAGACAATCTTTCAGCTCTCTGAAGGGCATCATTGTACTCCTGCATAATGTAGGCAACTTGTTTCTGTTTAACAGAGATGCAAAGACAGAACTTGGCTATTTGCAAGCCTTATTCTCTTATGTCATTTGATTCCAAGCATAGGGTAATGCTGTTTGGGGGCCAAATAAGGGCCTCTTGAAATATCAAAATTCTCCCACATTCTGAATTTGACTGACAAGGGCAGTGGTCACATTCTTAGGACTTTGAAGGAAAAAGTCTCCAGGAAAGAGCCAGTGCATAAGGATGTTTGGTAACTGGAGCTGGCTTCCTAACTTTTTACCTATAGCAGAGGAGGCCAAGTCTACAAAGGAAAATGCATTTTCTATCATATAAAGCTTCCTTCAAATCTCATTCTTAAAAATAGGTACCATTATCTTCTGCTACAGGAAGAACAGGCAAGTAAGTACATCCCTGAGTTCCTTTCCCATCTTTAGCTGTGACTTTAAAAAAATTGACAAGTTATATTGTTGATGAGAATGTAAATTGGTGCAGCTTTTATGGAAAACAGTATGGAGATTCCTCAAACAATTAAAATAGAACTACCACATGATCCAGCAATCCCACTTCTGAGTATATATCCGAAGGAAACTAAATCAGTATCTTGAAGAGATATCTGTATTCCCATCTTCATTGTAACATTACTCACAATAGCCAAGATATGAAAAAAACCTAAGAGTCTGTTGATTGATGAATGGGTAAAGAAGATGTGGTATATATATACAATGGGATATTATTCAGCCATGAGAAAGAAGGAAATCCTAATATTTGCAACAACATGGATGAACCTAGAAGACATTATGCTAAGTGAAATAAGCTAGACAGAGAAAGACAAATACTGTATGGTCTCACTTATATGTGGAATCTAAAGAAAACAAAAAGTCTGACTCGTAAAAGCAGAGAATAGAACGGTGGTTAGCAGGGGCTGGGGAGTGTGAGCAGGAGAAACGTGGAAATGTTGGCCAAAGGACACAAATTTGCAGTTATATAGGATGAATAAGCCTAGGGCTATAATGTACAGGCATGATGACTATACTTAATAATAGTGTAATGACAAGCTTATTGATCATTTTGTTTCGTTATGACAAATAGCACAGGTTCTTTTCATGGGCTTCCTACCTTGTAAAGAGGATAAAGTTGCTCCATGATCTTACTGTGCTGGCAAAACCTCTTCCACCTAAGCATGTGTAAATATTTACTCTGGGCCAGCTGGGTAATTCTCTCTGTATAATACTTTAACAACAATAACAAAAATTTACACTTAGTATACAATTATAATAGGAAGACTGAATTAAGTCTTAAGAACACTAAGAAAATCAGTCTCTGGTTGTTTTGGAAAGACAGATTTTTCCATATGAAGATGATAAAGTTAAGAAACCTGTCTCAAGATACCATTCAAACTTAAATAAAGCAAGTAGGCATTTCCGAATCTATATGATCTGTTGCCAATCCAACAGATTGTAGTTTCATTTACCAGTTAATCAACAGTTTTAGCAGTAACATAAAGGCCTGTAAAATTGCCTAAAGCTGAGCTTAAGATTTCTTAAAAACTGAAGTTATGAGTCTAAAATACAATGCATGTTACAGGTAAATTATAGCTTTTAACCTTAGACCAGAAATTTTATTTATACTTAAGAGCAGTTAAGTAAAAAACATTTTAAAATGTTTTATTTCTGATAATAAAAATAATACTGACTATAATGGAATAAGTAGGACCAGACCTCACCCTTCCATCATAAACAACTAGAAAATAGGAAAAAATACATAAGACAACTGTTTTCTGACATGGGACAACAGGCAATGTAGGACTGTGGTCCTTGAGAAGAAGGAAACAAATGAAAGGAGCCCTATCACCTGAAGAAGGCGGTTTCTGAACCATGCAGTAGGAAAGGGAATCCTAGGCAGAGCACAATGGTATCGCTGATTTAAGGAAAGAGAAATTCAAGTTAGAGAAGCTGAATCAGCTGAAGTTTGCAGGGCAGAGTATTGGAAAGGAGGAAGTTATGCAGATAAAGGGCTCCACAAATCTGCAGAGAGATCGCTTTGAGTTTCTTGGCGACTATTATGCCATACATACAGAGGGTGAAACTCCATGAGGCTATGCAAAGAATAACTGACTAGGGAATTGTAAACTGACCAGTTCTCAGAGTTCATACAGGGCTAGGAGATGTTCAAGTTCCAGTCAGCCAGAGTGCAGAGCCCTCATTGAACACATGGGGCATTCAGTGGAGACGTCAGAGGGGTCACAATTTAGTAATAAGGATAAACTATCCCTAGAGCAAAGGTTACTCTAAACCTGCTCTAACAAAACTTAAAACCAAGCCTTGAAAGTATGAAGCTGATCTACAACTTAATTGCCTGCCAGAATAAAGTCCAATGCTCTTTAAAGGAAGACAAAAAGAAATCATCATTCAAAAATGTAAAACTGCAAAGCCCAGTGTCCAAAAGAAATATCACTAGACATGCAAAGAAGCAGGAAAATATGACCCATAAGCAGGAGAAAAACTAATGAAGAGAAACAGACCTAGAAATGGCACCAGTGATGAAAATAGCAAACAAGGACTTTAAAAAAGCTATTATTAATATGCTCCATATGTTCAAGGATTGAAAGGAAAATGTAAACATAATAAAGAGAGAAATGAAAAATATAAAAAATAATCAAATAGAACTACTGTAAAAGAAAACTACAATATATGAAATAAAAAAATTCATTTGGCAGGATTAACAGCAGATTAGACAGTGCAGAAGAAAACGTTAGTGAACTTGAAGATACAGCAATGGAAACTATATGCAATGAAGCACTGAAGAAAAAAAGACTGAAAAAAATTAACACAGCCTCAGTGACTTATGGAACACTATGAAGTGATTTAACACATGTGTAATTGGAGTCCCAGAAGGAGGGATGGAGAGAAAATACATATTTGAAGAAATAATTGTTGAAATTTTGTAAAAGAAATTGATGAAAATGATAAAATCACAACCCAAGAAGTTCAATCAACTCCAAGGAAGAGAAACACAAAGAAAACCTCATCAAGGAACATCATGATCAAATAGCTTAAAACCACTAAGACACAATCTTAAAAACAGCCAGAGAACAAAAGGACACATTATGTTAGGAAATGGAAGGCAGAAGATAATAGAGCAACATCTTTAAAGTGATAAATGAGAAAAACTATCAACCTAGAATTCTATATTGAACAAAAATACCTTTCGAAAATGAAGGCAAATAAAGACTTTTTTCAAAAAAACAGAGACTGAGAGAATGTGTCCCTGGCAGATCTGCACTACAAGAAATGTTAAACTAAGTTCTTTAGGCAGAAGATAAATGATACCATATGGAAACTTAGACTCTACTAAGGTTTCTCAACCTCAGCACTATTGACATTTCTGGTGGGCACTGTCCTGTGCACTGTAGGATGCTTAGCAGCATCCCTGGCCTCTACTCACTAGATGCCAGTAGCAATCCACTCCCCTCCCCAAATTGTGACAACTAAAAATGTCTCCAGACATTGCCAAATGTCCCCCATCTGCAACCTCCCCTTCTCTCCAATGAGAACCACTGAGATACACAAAGGAATGAAGAGCGCCAGAAGTGATAGGGAAAGAGAATCAGGGTGAAGATCATGACAAGTTTGACTTGCAAATAGAATCTCAACATCTTTTGTTACTTTGTGATTCATTTATTAGTTAATTGCTAACTAGTTGCTAATGAATTAATTTGTAGGCATAGTGAGGATACAATTTATAACACAAGAGTAAAGAATAAAGAATTTTAAAAATCAAAACAAAACATGCTCATTATAGAAAATTTAGAAAATATATAAAAGTAAAAAGAGGAAATTCATTATCCTGCTATCCAAAAACAGTGGTTGCTAACATTTTGGTCTATGTTCTTCAAGTGATTTTTCTATACATTATGTGACCATTATTATGATATGATACACACATGCACATTTAGTTTTTGTTAACTGATATTACATAATATAATGATTCCTTATGCTAAAAAATGTTTAATGGCAGAACAATATTCTATCAAATACCACAATGTTTTTCTTAACTTTTTCTCCTGTTGTTAGACACTTAGGCAATTCCATTTTTTTCATTTTATTATAATGCACAATAATTACGTAAAATTTTTTTCCCGGTGTTGTGAGTTATTTTCTTAAGAAAGATTTCCAGAAATATCTCCCCTAGGTCAGCCAACAGCTTTATGAGGACTGAGACAGTCTTAGTCAATGCAGTATTACCTCATAATACCAGCGCAGGGAGTAATTAGTAGAAACTTAACTGTTTAGTGACAGTAACTGAGCTGAGTTTAACTGTGGCATGGGTCCCTAACAAAGAAGAGCGTTTACACTAACCAACTTCTGCAAACCACACATGTAGAGAAAATCCTACCCTGGCCAGAGGGTATACCAGAAAGCCAGCTTTGTTCATACATTTCCACTAAATTCCAGATCTGTTTTTCAAATTGCAATATGACTCTTACCTGCAACAGAAGCAAAGGTAAATTTTCAGGAGTGTACTCTCTTCTTAGGCAGCTCTCTAGCTCCCTCTGCATGACGTCTGCTTGAACAACAAGGGGCTTTGACTCAGCTACCTGAACCGCAGGCAACAGAGCAGGCAAACAAAGGGAAATAAGAAAACAAAATTATCAGTGTTCATGAGAAAAAACGACATATGATTTCTGACAGTTTTTACACAACACATTATGCTATTATACCTAAGTTTCCAAATAATGAATTTTAACATCACAAATCAAGGAACTGTAAAGTTCAAAACATCATAAAAATCAGATATCTCCAAAGAAGTAGTGACCTGCTCTGATCCAGCAGTCAGCTGAGTATCGGGCTGTTTTGCTCTCATAAATGCTGTCAATAACATCAACTGTTTGTTTGCAAAAACAAACTTTTCCTGCTAAGAGTTTCCAACAAGTTAGCAAAATCTAATTTATTGTTGTATGGAAATTGCCCACTCTTCTACTCACCTGTAAAGTTTTCTTTAGAGCCAGTTCCCTTTCTCGTCTAAAGTAAGAAATGTCCTTTGGTATTCGAACAGAGCTGCAGAAAGACATATGCAATAGAAGCTCTAACTGTAGAAGCCAAAATAGATCAGATTATCGATAGGCCCCGATTAATCTATAACTCTTCACGACTGCTCATTTCTAAATACGTATATCATATTATACTGGATCGTTGGGGGCAGTTAAAGGCCACATGCTTCCGTCTTAGTCAGAATCTCTCTTGTGTGTACCTCATGTTTGCTAAACCTTTCCCTGGGCCAATTTTCCTCTTCTTCTCCCCACACGATCGTAGTCTTTCCTTCTACCCCCTATGCCTCTTGATTTCTGACTCCAGGGTACAGAGAGACACATGATGGTGAAGATTTTTCTTTCTCCCACCTGTATGTCCTCCGGGAACCTGATGTCTAACAACTACTATGCTTGTCAGACCTCTATCTCACCCTAGTTGACCAGAGAACTAGTATCTTATAATTTAAACAAAATGTTTTTATTTTTGTGTTCTTGCTCAATTATCTGGGGGGTGAAAATGACCTTTAAGTGTCAAACATGAAACACTTGGGAAATTATCATAACCAAGTTTTCTGCTGCAGAAAAATTATTTATCCCTAGGAAAAACATAGCAGAAGTGCCTGCTTAAGCAGCCTCGTGGACTGCGGTCCAAGCCCAGTCACGAGGGAGTTGTTTGCACCATGGGGTCTGCTGAGGAGGCAAGAGCAGCGCTGCTATAGGGCCCGATGAGAGAGTGGGACCCTGGGTCAGGAAGAGGGGAGCTCTCCCCACTTGGTGTAAGATCCACCCCAAGGCTTGGCAGCTTTGGGAACATCAGGGGATAGCAACCCTGGTGCAGACGTCACTTTCTTAAGATGGGACTTTATCAACATTGGTGAGGGAGCCACAGCAGGTAGTTTTGGAACACATGTGAGAGATTACCTCAAGATGTGAGGGGGATTATAGGCAGTAAAATTTAGGTTAATGTTGTTCATAGGACCCTACCGGTCTCCGTGGATAAGTTTCAAGGGAAGATGAAAGTAAACTGTTAGTTTGTACCCTTGCCAGCAGTTCCCCCTACTGGAGGCATGGTCCTGTGGAAAGAGCACCAGTCAGCCACATGAGCCTAAGCAACCCATTGAGACAGTTGTGTTGAATTCCCAACTGAAGTTGGAGAAAATGCCTCCCTTATCTCCTCATGTCTTGGCTTTGATGGAAAAAACAAGGCAAGCTCTGAAAGGGCCTTGAGAGTAAAAGCATCAGTAAATCGAAAGTATCCTTCCTGTGATTACTGGGTACCCGAATCCTGGCTGCAGCCTCATGGGGGTGGAGAACGAGTAACCAACTAGAAAGGGGATGAGCTACTAACCAGGCAGTCAGGGAAACAGAAGAAACCTATCCCTTCCCTGCCCTCTTGTCTTCTAATAATTTGGCACGCTGGGAGATTGGGCAGGGCCCTGGGCTTAGCTGTCCCAGCCGTCTCTTACTCAGATCATGTCTTTCCTCTCAGTGAACCTCAAAGTGTCTGTGAATGACCTAAAAGAGATTGGTGAACATAAGTGGTGTGTACATCAACCCACAAAAAGAGATTCACTCATTTGTTCATCAAGCATTGTTCATGCAGCATACATTCATTCATTTATTCATTCAGCAAGCATCTGTGAAGCACTTAACAACTACAAAGACCTGGGCTTATGTGGTAAAATGACTAACGCACAATCATCTTCCAGTTCTCAATAGATTTTTCAGTCTAGCAGGGAATGAGAACGCTAAAGCGATTGTCAGGAGTGGATATTTTCCATTTTCCTTGGACTCCAGAACCTGGCAAACAGAAGGTGCCCAATAAGCATCTGTTGGAGTAATAGACTCTTTCAGTGCAGTGTTTGGTGGTTTAGGAGAGTAGAGAAATACAGGTATCCAGAGATTTCCCATCACTCTGTCCTAAAAAGGACTTCAGAAAGCCTTTCTTATCACAATGTACAGTGGGGAGCCGCTTACCTGACACTCAGACATTTAAATTGTAACAGTATCAACACTTGATTTTTGCATGGTTTTTTCTGGTTTTCAAAGTGCTTTAACATGCATTATCTCAATTGATCTCTATAAAGTAGGCAAGGTACATATTTTTAACCTCATTTTTCAAATAAAGAAACCAGAGTTGAGAGAAATTGTGACTTGCATGTTTCCATTACCTTTCCACTTCATCACACAATCATTGATCTGCTTCATACACACAAGGGCTTTAAATACCAAATTATAAAACACACTAAATACTGGTTCTTCAGAATCATCTTTGGAATGAGGTACTAATGCACCTACTTACTGTTTCTTCACCTGATCTTCCCTCCCCAACCCTCACCATCCACGTTGTGTTTGCTCAGCTAGTCAACCTAAGTGGGTTCTTATAACTGTTCCTCTTGATCAATTGTGACAATAACAGAAACAGGGATATAAGGTCCTGGCCCATGAAACTTGCCACTTAAAGGCTGATCTGGCTACCCCGTTTCTCTAAGAGAATTTGATTGCTGTCGTTGGCAGCATTTACCTACAGAATAGCTCCTAATAGAACATCATTTTGCAGAATTCATCACCAGATATCTAGCATTATCTCAGTTTTGAAATTTCTCATCAAAATCAAGGTCAAATTCAATTAAAATATTATTGGAGGAAATGAGATCTCTTCTCATTGAGTTTGATTTGTATACATAATAGCTTCTGGAACTTTAAGACAATGGTATATGTGAAACGTTAAGAGCACTTTTCCATTTTCTTTGTCAGGACATTGTCTCTAAATGCCTCAACAATTCTAGAATATAGGAAAACCTTAGGGGCAGCAGTCACGTCTGAGTTTAAGATAATCCCAATTGTCCAAATAAAAAGAAGAGGGGGGCTGATGGAGATTATGGAGTGAGAGTGAGGGTTAAAACCCCTGAAGACCATGCCTTCGCACCGCCACTGTTTACCTATAAGATCGATGAGCTGTTCCCTGAAGAGTCTCCTGTTCTTCTATCTCAGACTTCAGTTCAGTCAATCGCACAGCCAGTTCTTTCTCCAACAGCTGGATTCTTTCTGTGGAAGTGATCTTATAAATTTCATCCATGGCTTGTGTTTACTGTTCTTCTGTATCCCTGAAAAAGAAGAGCACAAAGCTTGTGGCTGATCCCTCAGTGACCATTACCCAGTGTGTGAGACTTTGTCTATCTTTGTCCAAGAAATCATGTCAACTTTGCGGAAATGTATGATTTTGCAAGTTGAAGAAACAGCCGGACTAGACTGTTGTCGTTTATTGATTTAATTACCATTTAGTAAATGGTAGAGAAAACATAGGTTAGAATCTCTATTGACAGTATCTTTGTTCAGCCCAGTTCACCTTCAGACACATCTCTGCTCCAGCTTTGACTCGGGGGTTTATTAAATGAGAATGCATCCCCCTGCCCCACCCCGGTAGTCTTAATAAAGGCTGTGGGGATTACACACTAAATGTTATGAATGGCGGTTATTGCTGACTGCTAGTATTACTTCGGCTGGAACAAACGATAGGTATGTACAGGATCCCTCTACATGCCTAGAGTATTTCTCCATAAACCTTTTTGAAGGCATGAGCTGCTGACTAGGGAGAATATACCGAGGGTGGAGAGCTATCTAACATGATCATGATCCATGCACTTTTGGGTTTGGAAGAAAATCATACTTATGCATTTGATGTATTTTTCTCAATTTTAAATGCTTATATTTATCATACTGCTTTTACCATTAAATAAAATAGTTGATAACCCCATCCCCCACCCAACCCAGTTCACAGCCTGTCAAATTCAATGCAATTGTTTGCTAAGTACTTAGTGTCAATATTCTAATTAACAACACAGATTAACTGCATGACCCAGAATGGGACCCATGAATTGCAGGGGATTCAGTGAATGATGTGTTTCTTGCGCTGCTGCTGCCCTTACTTGTCCTGGACAAGTAGGGGTAAAGTCACTCTAGGGCCACACTAAAGAGGTTTAAAATATTTAAACCTTCCCTTTTTCCTTTGACATTTCTAAGATTTTCATTCTTCCTTTCAGAGATATTTCATTTTCTGAAGTTAATCTGCTGCCGTTTCAACAAATAATTAAGCTGTAGAGATGTTTTGTGTAAAGGCTTCCTTTGGGAGCCTACTTATTCTTTTTATAAATATTAAAAATGGAAATGAGCATCCGTGTTCAGTCTAGGTTGTGAACCTACTGAGTGATAAATCTGTCATGTTTGGCACACTGCTGGAGCTCAATAAAATGCACTGTTGTTGTTCTTAGCAAAAAGCAAAATGTTGTTATGAAAAATATTTGCCACTTGGCAGTGTTCTTTCAAGTTAGGCAAACAGTTAAACAGCTGCCTTAACAGCTGCTTTCCAACCGGCAGCCAAGAACGGCAGCAACACAGACTGGCTGATTCTTTTCCGAAGGGATGGACATTCTGCCTTCATTTCCTGATCAGTTTCAACACTTCACAGCTCAGAAATGAGAACATTTAATCCTTCACCATTTAGCTTGCTATAGTCAAGTACAGTATTCACAAAATTAACATAAGGAGGGGTCAGTCTTTGACAAATGTCCATGAAATAGATCCAACCCAGAGGAATCTATGCCTGCTGGGCACTCCTGTCTAGTGTCAAAGAGACAAACAACTGTTTATTTTGGGAGGGAGGATAGGGTGGGTTCCATTCACTGAGCACCTACTCTGTGTCAGGCAGGCATTTAAAGTCCCAGAAAAGGGACTTTCTCAAGAATTGCTTCAATAGTGTTTTTAAAAAATAAGTATATTTAATTAACTATTGATTGCAAACCAACAAACAAAACATCTTTTTTTTTATGTGTTTAAAAAGTGGTAAAATCTAAGCTCTAAGAAAAAGATAGTAATATTTGCTTGAGCAGGGTTTGAGGGTGTTCAGTGGGTGGTTAAAGCAGGCTTCAATGGGGTTAAAGCAGCCATGTTTAGAAGAGAATGTAACTTTAGACTCTGCTAGGAAAATGTATAATGCATGTCAAAAACTTCAAAGTGATTACTAAAAGAATAGAAATGCAACCTAGAGCTTCCTAAACAAATGGGGGTGAGGGGCAGGAACGGGTCTTTTAAATCCAAAAGAAGGCAGGAAAAGAGAAAAAAAAGGGAAACAAAAAGAAATATGGTAGAAATAAGTTCAAATATATCAGTAATTGTAATAAATATAAATGGATTAAGCCCATCTATCAAAACAAATAAATCAGCACACCTTCGAGCATTTTTAAAGCCCCTAAAATTCGGTAATATGATGTGTACCAATATCAAACAATGATTTTTATTCTAGCAAATGCCAGAATTTAAACTGATAAGCAAGCTGGCCCCATATCACCGTGGGGCAATTCAATCTTCTTCATGAATATCCGCACGGATAGATACTCTATAATTTCCCTGGGTAAACATTTTTGATGCTTGGTCATCTTTGATCATCAAAGTGTTCTTCCTGTGTGCAAATGAAATTTCTCCTATTTTACATTACACACCATCTTCTGGATCAGTAGGGTAAGGTTAAGCAGATTTAACAAAAAGACACAGTCATCAGTGGCTTAGAGAACGAAATTGTTTAGGTGTATCTAATGTAACAGTGCTGATGTGAATGGTTCAGGGGAGTAGAGCAGCTCTGCTCCTCCTGGGCGTTCAAGGACCCAGGTTCCTTCCAAGTCAGTGTCACCATCCCCTAGGCATTGTTCAAACACACTAGTGTTTTCTCTTCAGTGTGGCTATAGATCATGATCTTTGGTTGGGTGAGGAGACACAGGAGACAGATACATCTGATGCCTGAAGTGAATAACCTGCTTCTACTTCTAGCTTACTGACAGTTGGGGGGTTTTTTCTTGAATGAGTATTGAACTGTGTCAAATGCTTTTTCTGCATCTACTGAGATAATCATGTAATTTGCCTCATTTACTTGTTAATGTGGTGCATTTCACAGATTTTTGATTGTTAATCCAAAACTGCTTTCTTGGAATAAATGCCACTTACTTGTGATTTATCTTTTTTTTTAAAGAAAAGTGGACTCAATTTGCTACTGTGTTGTTTATGATTTTTGCATTTATATTCATGAGAGAAATTGGCCTGTCATTTTCTTATAATGCTCTTGTCAGGTTTTGATATCAAGATTATACTGCCCTCTTAAAAAAAGTTGTGAAGTGGGGGCTGGCCCGGTGGCGCAAGCGGTTAAGTGCGCACTCCGCTGCAGTGGTCCGCAGTTCGCTGGTTCGGATCCTGGACACGCACCGACGCACCGCTTGTCAAGCCATGCAGTGGCCACGTCCCATATAAAGTAGAGGCAGATAGGCATGGATGTTAGCCCAGGGCCAGTCTTCCTCAGCAAAAAAAAAGAGGAGGATTGGCAGATGTTAGCTCAGGGCCGATTTTCCTCACAAAAAAAAAAAGTTGTGACGTGCTACTTTCTCCTCTATTTTCTTAAAAAATTTAAGATTGGTATTATTTCTTCCTTGAACGTTTGGAATAATTCACCCATGAAACAACAAGCAGCCTGAATTTTTCTTTACAGGAGGGTTTTAAATTACAGATTCAATATCTTTAACAGATTATGATTATTCATATTTTCTATTTCTTCTTGTGTTCATTTTAATAAATTTTTTTAAAAAAGAACATTTCATCTAAGTAGACAATTTTTTTCGGTATAAGGTAATTCATAACATCTGTTTATATTTTTAACAGATTTGTTGAGATAAAATTAACACACCATGCAATTAACCCATTTAAACTGTATAATTCAATGACTTTTAATACTTGCAGTTGTGCATCTATCACCACAATCCGTTTTAGAACATTTTTATCACCCCTAAAAGAAACCCCATATCCATTAGCAGTCACTCCCCACTTTTCTCTAAGTCACCCCACCCCTAGCAATAGGCAACCACTAATCTACTCTCTCTATGTATAGCTTTACCAATCTGGAAATTTTATATAACTGGAATCATATAATATGTGGTCTTTTGTGACTGGCTTCTTTTATTTCACATAATGTTTTCAAGGTTCGTCCCTGTTTTAGCATCTATCAGTATATCATTCCTTTTTGTGGCTGAATAATATTTCAGTGTATGGTTATACCACATTTTGTTTATTGGTTCATCAGTTGATGGAAATTTGGCTTGTTTCCACTTTTTCGCTCTTATGAATAATTCTGCTATGAACATTCATGTAAAAGTATTTGCCAGTCTGTTTTTCAAAACAGCTGTGCCATTTTATAGTCCCACCAGCAATGTATGAGGGTTCCAATTTCCCCACATCCTTGTCAACACTTGTTATCTTTTTTAGTTTAGCCATCCTAGTGGATGTGAAGTGGTATCTCACTGTGGTTTTGATTTGCATTTTCCTAATGGCTAATGATGTTGAGTATCTTTTCACATGCTTATTGGTTATTTGTATATCTTCCTTGGAGAAATATCTATTCAGAGTCTTTGCCCATTTTTTAATTGAGTTTTTTGCTTTTTTTATTGATGAGACATAAGAGTTCTTTATATATTTTAGATACATGTCCTGTATCATACATATAATTTGCAAATATTGTCTCCCAGTCTCTGGGTCTTTTCACTTCCTTGATGTTGTCCTTTGATGCCTTTTATCTTTTTAATGTCTATAAGGTGTGTAGTGCTGTCTCCTTTTACATTTCTGATATTGATAATTTCTGTACTTGCTATTTTTTCTTGATCAGTCTTATTAGTAATTTAATAATTTTATTAATCTTTTCAAATGACCTATATTTAGTTTTATTGTGTTTACTCTAGTTCACTTATGTCTGCCTTCTCTTTCTTTGATTTCTGCTCATTTATTATTATTCATCTATTATTTATTTAAATTCATTTATTATACAAATTAATTCAATTATACCAATTCTGTTGAATTATTATTCATTTATTCTTTATAATTTATTCATTATTACTTACATATTTATTATTTATTACTAGTCATTTATTATACCATTCCTTTTACTATCTTGGATTTAATTTGCTCTTCTTTTGCCAGCCCTTGAGATGGAAGTTTAAATCAATAATTTTTACCTCTCTTCTAATGTATGCATTTAAAACTATAAATTTCCTTCTAAGCATTGTTTTAG